GTCGATGGTTGCTCAATTAAAACTGACTTCTTCTTACTCACTCATTTGTGTCATTTTTTGTGGTGAGCTACAGTGTCATTGACACTTTCATTTTTCTTGTTCTTCTTCTACTTTCTTCTTCTTCTTTTTCTTCTTCTTCCTTCTTCTTCTTTCTCCTCCTCTTTCTCTGCACTGCTATTCTTCTTCCTCCTCCTCTTCTTCATACATATTGATGAGCATTGTGAAAATAATAATAATAATCAAAATCTTGTGATTAAATATAAGTATATGTAATGCAATAGTGAAAGTTGAAAAACTATAGTTGTGTACATTACGTTATATGTGAATGCCTTTATACCATCAGGATGTAGAACTGTAAGACACTGCAAACGTTGTGATAGGTACCAAAATGAAATTATTCCCTTATTTTCAGGTGTTTCTGTTGGACCCATCTGAGGCAAGAAGTAAAGACTTGATGTTGCTTGCTGAGACATTCTATGTTCACAAGGCTCCTACAAGGATAGGTCTGGTGCTTGTAGTGAACACAGATCCTACAGTGAAAGGCCGAAATAATGCCGGAGTTGCCGCTCTGGAGGCTTTTAATTGGATCAGTAAAAACAAGAATGTACATGAAGGCCTTACCTTCCTCAATGAGGTTTGTACACCCTGTTTTCAACAGCCTGTCATGTTAATAGTTATTAATATTTATTATATATTTTTCCATAATATATGTTCCTTCAATGATGTTTGCGTCATGCTCTCTTTAAAGGGATACTTTCCCCTACAATTTTATTCCCCTATAGTATACTATGGTAGTAAGTGCATAAATAACAGCATATACCTACACATTTCTATAATCATGCATGGGATAATGCATGATCAAATGGGAATTTGTCATAAAACAACGTTTCATTTCGAAATCTTCATTTTTAATTAGCTCACCTTGACATCGTCAAGATGAGCTATTGTCATGGGGTGTCGTTCGTCGTACGTCCGTCTGTCAACATTTGGCTACGGTCAACGATAACTCAAGAACCGTTTGACTCATATGTTTCAAATTGCATATAGTTGTTACTCCTATGGGAGAGGTTTGAACACCCTTTTTTGGAGCACGCCAGTTGACCTACTACATTCAAGCCACGTCCACTTTTTGGCAAAAATGGAAATGGCCACAAGTCAGTTCAGGTTCAATGGGTTTTGCTCATTTCTGGTATGTGAATGAATGAGGACTGGCCCCAAAACATATCACACAGGTTTTTATTTTTTTTTTAATTATGCAAATTAGGTCGATTTTGGCAATTTCACTATGCATTTCAGTGTCTGCCTACGGTCAACGATAACTCAAGAACCGTTTGACCCACATGTTTCAAATTGAATACAGTTGTTACTCCTATGGGAGAGATTTGAACTTCCTGTTTTGGAGCATGCCATGCAGTCGACCTACTTTCGAGCCATGCCCACTTTTTGGCAAAAATGAAAATGGCCATCCAAATTCATTCGATTTTGTTAAATTTTGGTATGTGAATGTGTAAGGCTAGCCCCAAAACAGTTGTTACTCCTATGGGAGAGATGACAACGTCCTATTACGTTTGTTTTGTCTAACTAGTCAACAACTCTACAATCATACCTATATGTCGTCGATATGTGTCATTCGTCGATATTATAACTGAAACTAAGTGTCGTTTATAAGATATTGCAATCCTTCTGCTCTTAAATTAATGAATAAGAAACACCCTCGGTCTGCATGTAGCCTGCAGCCGAAACGTTGGTTTGCGCAACTTTTTAAGTGAATGTGCTCCCAGTGGCGCCACCATCGTTGTAATTAAGCAATTAACGGTATAGCTGTCAGTTTTAAAACGTTTTTTCTTAATATTTTTAATGAATATTGAACCATAAAACATTTTATGTAGCATAATTTTAACCAATTTTAACTGCAAATATCCAAAGAACCTAGAGCAATGTATCCCTTTAAATATTAAAGCATATAAATATTTAATATATATTAAATGATTATGTATATATGTACAATTACAAACAAAGTAGTAAAACTAACATACAGTTTTTTTGTGGTAAATTTCGTCAATTCTCTGTTAACGTTGAAATAGAATCAATAAATATTGTTGTACCTTTTTACAGCTTCATGCGAGCACTGATGCTGGTAGTAACATTGAAGTAAAGGATATCGTCAAGTTACTCCTTACCAAGTATAACCTGGAGGATATGGATCCTATCTTTGGTGATGATTCGGAATATGATTACAATAGAGAGGTTAGCAAATATTTCAAATACAATATCGGTGTGCACTAATAAAAAATACAGTACTCCATATTTGTAGTATGTTAAAGGTTTATAAACATTTTAAGCATACAAATGGATATGATTTTTTGTAAAACACTAATTTAATTATAGTATGAAATCCAAGTATCGATGGTAAAAGTGAGCATAATCTATGAAGAATAGGCAGGTGGATGTATTTTTTGGGATGACAGTTTGGTATGAAGTTTCTGGAAGGCACCGGACTGGCACACACACCACAGGCACTCATGAATGGTCTTGTCATCGATGAAAACTCTATGGATAAAGACTCGTTCGAAGATGCAATGCTAGCAAAGATGATGGCAGCAACACCAGAGATTCAAAGGGCCATTTATATGGCAAGTATAAGTAGTTTTTAATCCGCCACAGGTCACCGTATAAGTTCAAATGTCACAGCAAAATATCGTGTTTGGCAACACATATATGTTATACTGATGTAAACAATGTTATACTATTTGTCTTTTATTGGGCTGCCACACTTAGAGAAAGTATTCTGTAGGTACTGTTGCAAATGTCTGTTTAGTAGAAAAATAATATATATTTCTTACCTAAATTGTATGAAATGTAAACAAATTTTTTTTATATTCACCGCTCATGTTATGTATATCAAGTTTCTATGTGGTCATATTAAACTAACTAATTGTTTGATAATATTGATTTTCATAGTGGATAGTTAACTAGCAGCTGTAACGGTAAGTCTGTGATCTATATTGATTATATAATTATCTAGGACAGTGCATGTATTTGCATTTCTTATAACACTTTGGGTCTAAAGTTTACATTCTTATTTTGACTTATCATTGTTGACGTCATTCTGCCACCAGGGGGAACTTGTGGACAGTGACAATGTGGTGGAGTTTCTCATGACTCGTGATCATGTATTACCGAGAATCAACAAATATATTCTGAAAACAGAAGGAAAATACCTTGACTTCAGTGGTTCCGCAGGTGAGCTGTCATTCCGCATAAATAGTTGATGCAAGATTCCAGATTCGTTATTATATTTAATTTTACCTCAAGCGTGCTGATGGCTTACCTAATTTATGTGCCAATCATGCAGTGAGTATTGCCATAAAGAAGTTGGAAATGTTTTATTTGCAGATGAGGCAGCGAGGACTGATGCAATAGCATTCTCTAGCTTATCTACAAGGGATATGACAGTCACAATGTCTGAGATACAGAACTACATGACTAGGAAGGGAGACCCATTTCTCCGCTCTGTTACTATCTGGGTGGTTGGTGATTTAGAAAGAGCCAAGGGCAGAGAACTGCTTGCAGCTGCAATCAAACATATGGTACATTGTCTAGGAAATAATTGTCAAAATTTCACGTTTCAGTGCGTATAGATAGCTGATGGTTACAATTTAAGTATGACAATATGGTAATTTAAACAAGCATATTTGTAGCTTGCAAGGATTTTTGTGTGCAACTGCTTTATTTGTAAGCTAATTTGAATAGATTAGGTTATCTAGATATTACATTAATTTCCTGATATAATCTCTGGCACTGCTTTTATTAAAATTGCATTCATGACGATAATGACGATTCTCAAAACGCTAGCTAGCATCTGCTTCGACACATGTTGCGAAGCTCACCTAAACGAATGTCACTATGTGATTAACACACGTTCTCCTCTCTCAGAGGACATCAAATGACATCAGGTTGGGTGTGGTGCACAATCCCAAGAAGAAGGGTAAAGCACCGAGCATGCTCGTGCGATCAATTGAGGCAGCTCTGGCCACACTTAGTCATCAACACTGTAAGCTGTTTATCAACAAACTCTTAAAGGAAGAGAATGCTGCACAGGTCATCACTGGAAAGATGGCACCATCAGAGTTGGAAGTAGGGGTAAGTGCCAAAGCCTTCTAATCAATTTTCACCCAGCACACATGGATCATTTCTATTATTTTGTGTCGATTCATTTGCTATCAACATGAATGGATTGTTGTTTACCTACGGATTGTTAACATGAGAGATACATTCTAGTTGAATATACACATGGTAGTGGAAGGGAGGTGCATTCGGTAGAGGCAGCCCAGGACTCCACTATCAAGTGTCGATTGCTAATTATATGCATTCCCACTAAAGATTGCTAAATGTTTCACTAATGATGACATGTTGAGGTTTCTGTTTTGACATGAACCGCTGCATTTGCATGTCAGTACATTTTATTCGCGTTTTTAAGATATACATTTAATTTTATGCTCTACAACTTTTGTTTAAGGGCATGGACACGGCCATGTTCCAAAGCTATCTAGAAAGCATGAGCGATGATTTCATAAACATCCACCAGACGTTCAGTACGCAGGTGCTTGGTTTCACACCTGGTGACATCGGTGTGATTGTGAACGGCAAGGTTGTTGGACCGCTGAGCGTCGGTGAGAAATTCTTAGAGGGCGACTTTGCGCTGCTAGAAACGCACACGTATAAAGCATCTGCTTCGAAGATAAGAAGTAAGGTGAGTTTTGAATGCATGGCCAGGACACGCACTCATGTTTGTATGGTGAAAGGTGGACGAGGAGGCATCGGTTGCTTACATCAGCTTGATTCCACTCTCGAATACGTTGCGGCATTATTTCTGAAATCTACAATTTTAGCCGAACTGTAAAAGTAACATTCAATACAATTATATGCTGCTAGGAAATAATATTTGACCTATATCATGTGCTGCTGTCTATAACAGTATGTTTGTACAGTCAAATCTGTGTTAGAGGACACCACTCAAGAACAAGATTCCTGTCCTTTCTTGAAAGAACACTTATAGGGTTTTCGTGGAACGACCATTATATACAGATTTGTGTAAATACAGCAATTCACCACACTGTCACCATGAACATATCTTTACTTTGGACTAGGACATATATTCTATAACTAAAACAACTATAACTATATTTACGATACAACTATACTGCAAGATACAGATGTGTTCACGTCACTACCCACAATGCACTTCTTAAAACAGGTCAAGTACATGAAGAGTGTCGAGGAAAATGGCGACGAAATCGGCAGCGACCTCATCATGAAGATCAGCGCCATCTGCCTGCAGAAGGAGCAGACGCGCACGCGGCAGACGGTGCGGCACACGGGGTCCGAACATAGCACGCTGGAGATCGCCGCCGCTGACGCGGGGGCGCCGGCGTTTGACGTCGTCGCGATCGTGGATCCGGCATCGCGCGCCGCGCAGCCGCTCTCGCACCTGCTCCTCGTGCTGCAGTCGGCGCTCAACGCCAACGTCCACGTGCTCATGAACTGCCGCGCGATGCTCTCCGAGATGCCCGTGCGCAGCTTCTTCCGCTACGTGCTCGACGCCGAGCCAGGGTTCACGGCGAGCGGTGAGCGCGCACGCGGGCCGCTCGCGCGATTCACCGAGCTGCCGCACAATGTGCTGCTGACGCTCAACATGAAGGTGCCGGAGAGCTGGCTCGTCGCGTCGGTGCGCGCGAGGCACGACCTCGACAACATACGACTCGAGGACACGGAGGCGGGCGTCACGGGCGAGTACGAGCTCGAGTACTTGCTGCTAGAAGGTGAGCGTTAGTATGTGTGTGTTACACGCACGCACACAGAGCTGGCATTGTCGGCGAGTACGAGCTAGAGTGCTTGCTGCTGGAAGGTGAGCGTTAGTATGAGAGTCTCAAGACAGAGCAAGAGACAGAGGGAGAGATAGCAAGAGAGAGAGAAAGAGAGAGAGAGAGAGAGAGAGAGAGAGAGAGAGAGAGAGAGAGAAAGAGAGCGAGAGAGGGAGAGATAGCAAGAGAGAGAGAGAGAGAGCTAGTGAGCGAAGGAGGGAGCGAGGTAACAAGAGAAAGGGAGTGGGAGAGAGCGTATGTGTGTGTGATAAAGAGAAAGAGAATAAGAGAAAGAAATATGGATGGATGGAATGGGTGAATGGGTAGATAGATGAGATGTCAATTTATATGTATATAATGTGTGGAACTGCATCTGAAAGATTTGGTTGTGAAATTAATTCCCGAATATAAATTTTCTGTGAAAGGTCACTGTTACGACAAGACAACAAGCCAACCTCCCAGAGGGCTGCAGTTCACACTAGGCACCAAGGCAAACCCTGTTTTGTTTGACACCATCGTCATGGCAAACCTCGGGTACTTCCAGCTCAAAGCAAAGCCAGGGGCATGGATGCTACGGTTGAGAGATGGCAGGTCGTCTGACATATACACTATATCAGAGTAAGTCTGAGAAGAGGTTTATGCCTGTTGAGTAGATGACTAGCAACATATTATTTATATTATATATATATATATATACATACATACATCATGTACATACATATCTTCAAAGAATGACCTGTCGGGATCTGTTTGTAGCGTAACAAATTAATTGCCAAATCCAAAACTAAAAACCACTCTTCATGCAGGCTGTCCACAAATCTGACTGCATGCTAATGCTGCAGCAATAGTACAGTGGAACCCTGATTTTACGTGCCCTAATTTAACGCGAATTCGGATATAATGCGATGAGTCGTTGGACCCCTTTTTTTGCTCTTATATAACCACGTATATGTATATATAACCCCGATTTAGAGAGACCCTGCTTTTTTTCGATGACATTTTATGGACCCCAACTATCGCGTTATAACATGGCTACACTGTAAAACCAATTTCACACATCTGAACACGTAAAGACATGCAATTATAGCTAAAATTCAGTTGCCTGGTGTACATCTCTGCCATACATGATAGATGCCGCTTTGCTTATTTTAATTTAACGTTTAATTCTTGCTTTATTTTTAATTCTCAGTCATTATGGTACGGACTCCCCGCGCAATTCAAGTGATGTTATCACACTGATGGACAGCTTCAAAAGCAAGATCATCAAGGTGAGAGTACAGAAGCAAGCCGGCAAGGAGAATGAAGATTTGCTCAAGGAAGAAGGCGATGATGATTCAGCGAGTATTTGGAGCTCTATATCAAAGTAAGTCTTTGTCCTGTGTTGTGCCCACCTGACTTTGTTGTGCATATATACATGTGTGCTAACCATATCATTTCATGATTTTAGTACAGATTACAGCATCACGTAATTTTTAACAAGTATCATCACTAATTTTACAGCTTTGTGGTATTGAATAATAAATGCATAGAATCTACGTGGCATAGTGCAGTATGTGGATCTGTATCACGGACAGATGGTCCCGGTCTCCACTTAACACATATATATCTAACAAATATGACATGGTGCAGTTTTAATTTAAGCATTGATTCCGGTTAGACTCAAACAATACTGAAAATGTAATCACTTTCCGTTGGTTGCAGCACCCTTAGTGGCGAGAAGAAAAAAGAGGAAGAGAAGGATCAGACGTTAAACATATTTTCTATTGCATCTGGACATCTATACGAAAGATTTCTAAGGTATAATTATATGCTCATCATCTGACAGTGCCATTTGAGCATGAATCAATATTTTTAGCACATCTGACATAGCCAGATGCAGCTTGTAGAATCGCATGAGCGTGCGTCCGTGCGTCCGTCAACAGTTGGGCACAAATCTAAACGGCTCGACGTACGGATTCGAAAGTCGGGACGTGGGGGGGGGGTAATCCGAAAACGAGTTAGGATGTCGAAGCTGGGGGTCAAAGGTCAAGAGGTGTAAAAGAAGGGAACATTCCCTCCTTAACTTAAGGTATAGGGAGGAAATGCAGAATTGCGGCACAAATCTAAACGGCTCGACCTAGCTAGGCTCGTGATAGTCGGTGTATAGCATCAATGGTAGCGAAAAGCATCACTGTGTCCGAAATGGGAGGTCACGAGTTCAAAAAAAGGTCCAATGGGGACACAGGTGCTGATTTTAGACATTTTCTGAGGACATGGTCTGACGGAGTGATTGAGGAAACCCTCAAGAGGAAGGTTAAACATGGATTTGTTTACTGTTAGAAAGAATTTGACTGCCGGGTTTGCTAGTAGAATCTATACATGCCTGGACGTATGAGGCTACAATGTCACAGTGAAATTTCAAAAGCTAAATTTGGTTGAAGAAGGTTTATGCTCCTTAAATCGTATAATTTCTATGGCATTCTGTACTGCAAGTGTGTTACATGTAACTTATGCCAGTGCATGTGGTGGTGATAGTACTGTGTAGTTTTTGCCTGTGTTAATTAGTTACAGGTGGCAGCTCTCTATTTCAGCCTGTAGGCTTGCGTAGGTAAATGGACGAGTGCTTACCTATTTTGTCTTGCAAATAGTTGTTGCTACTACGTACGATGGGAGCTTCCATCTTTAATCTTAGACACTTAAACGTACGCGCCATCTCGTGGCAACTTTCATAACTATCCCAATGAACATTCCTTCGAGAAGGTTCCTGATACCATCCCTGTGCCTTCCACTGTTTCGGCGCGTATGTGAACACATTTGGGACTAACAGGGTTTACTAGAATCCCACCACTCCACCACAGAGTCACCGCAGTAGACGTGAGATGAGCGCTGTTGCTCCGCGGCACTTGTTATTGAAGTTCATTGATATATTTTGTGTTGTGTTTAGAGACAGTAAATGTTATGCTTAGAATTTACCTTTTTTTGCAGGTTGATGGTACTTAGTGTCATGAAGCATACCAACAGTAATGTGAAATTCTGGTTCCTAAAAAATTACCTGTCTCCCCAGTTTAAGGTATATGTACTAGAAGGCTGATATTCCTGAATATCCGTTTGCACTGAACTTATTGTTTTAATATTACATTAAAAGTGACAGTTTTTCCTTCAAGGTTATAAGGATAATAGTTTTACTAATAGCCAGTGTTACTGAAGCATAGATAACTTTCTAAATAATGACTATAAACAGTCTTTTTGAGCATATTATGTTGATGTAATGATATATATGTTCACGTGATGATATGTAACCGTCCGATACATATCCTTCTATTCTAGGAGTCCATTTCCTACATGGCAAATGAGTATGGATTTGAATATGAGCTGGTGACATACAAATGGCCTCGCTGGTTACACCAGCAGACCGAAAAACAGAGGAAGATTTGGGGGTATAATTTATTTCTTGTTGTTAAAATTTATTTATTTTTGTTTCTTTATTTCATTTTAAATCTTATGTATGTTGTTAGGGAACTTATATTACTTGCTTACAGTGAACTCTCTGCTGTGCTACTTGTTACTGATAAAATGCATAAGCCTTCACGCTCAATTATCATCGCACTTCTGTGCAGTCGTTATAGAATTATTTTCGTTACCACGTGCAAAACTCTGTTCAGTAAACAGTTGCAAATTTCTTTCGTTAACAGGTGTAATATTTGGTTCGTTAACAGGTGCAAAATTATGTTCTTTAACAGGTACAAGATTTTGTTTCTCGATGTCTTATTCCCACTAAACGTAAAGAAGATAATTTTCGTTGATGCGGACCAGATTGTCCGTGCTGATCTTCAGGACCTAGCTGACCTGGACCTTGGTGGGGCTCCATATGGTTACACACCATTCTGTGATAGTCGCAGAGACATGGATGGGTTTAGGTATTTTTTATTCATGTGTCTAATGACATATATCCCACACATAATTTAGTAATACATAATCTCTACAGTGAACGTTTGAGTGCACCGTGGGGTGAGTCCTTGCCACGGTGCCATTAAATAAATTTTGAAAATTGCTACGATAGGTGCCACTCTGGGCAGGATTGTATAGATATGTTCTTGGTAATATGTAGGCATCACTATGCAGTGACATAGATTGCCCGTTGCATGCTTCTGACAAGTCTTCAAGCTTCTAAGTGTCAGTGTCTGTTTTATCTTTGTTTTAGGTTTTGGAAGTCTGGGTATTGGGCTAGTCATTTAGGGCACCGCAGGTATCACATCAGGTATGTCATGCATTATGTAATAATATATCTATGTATAGATGGTATAATTGCAAAGTGTGAGATTTGGGTGTGGTTCCTGTAATGCGTGACATAAACGGCACCTTTTATCATTTCCAGTGCATTATATGTGATAGATCTCAAAAGGTTCCGCAAGATAGCAGCTGGTGATCGGCTTAGGGGCCAGTATCAAGGGCTAAGTCAAGATCCCAACAGTTTGTCAAACTTGGATCAGGTAATGTTGTCTGAGTTGGACTCCGGGGGGGGGGGGGTTAGCTTCTACTAATTGTTACTCTGCATTAGTAAATATGTGCTGTATTATGTCATAATTATATTTATTAGTATTCAGTTTTGTATCATGAAAGGCATTTTTACAGTGCCTTTTTCAGTGTTCATATTTGTGGTATCAGAGCCTATAGTGAAAAATATGCACTTTGATTATGACAAGCCTATATTTATAAATCGGTGTAGAAGTGGGCACTTTCTGTGGATTTTGTGGGTTCAATTATTTTCTGTTATATGGCCTGACAAGATTCATTCGTATTCAACTTTCACAATGAATATAGACTTTATAATTTTTCTCAATTTTACTTTGAATTACTAATAAATCAGTATTTCTTTGTTCTTAATATTCAAGGATTTGCCTAACAACATGATTCATCAGGTGGCAATTAAGTCGCTTCCGCAGGAGTGGCTGTGGTGTGAAACGTGGTGCGATGACTCTTCAAAGAAATATGCAAAAACTATAGATTTGGTAAGCTTTAGTAAGGTTATATAGACGTTTACCTACAGATTCGTGTATCTATTTGAGTTCAACTCGTCCCTTACACTTTATCATTATCGTGCCTGCATACAGTGTAATAACCCAAAGACCAAAGAGCCTAAACTGGACAGTGCCAAGAGAATCGTTCCAGAGTGGACAGAATATGACAACGAAATTGCAACCTTGTTAGAGAAATTCCATGAGGAGCAAGGTTCTAGTAGTAAAGTCAATGGTATGTTAGACAAAATTACATGTAATAATTGTTCGTTCATTAACTAAAAATATGCGGTTGTTTTTATTGAAAGAAAAACAATATAAAATGACTTTGTGTATATACAATACAATACAAGCCACTTTGTGTTATTTCCAGTTTTTGTTGTAGGAATAGTAAGTGTCACTGCATGTTTTTATATATTTTTTCAGCCATTTTAGATGAGAAGTCCACTGCATCTAAACAGAAGCCGGTGCACGTGCACACTGACTTGTAACAGAAGAACTGCTACCGTATCAGCCATCATGACGGTCCTGCCATGAGTTGTCAATCATTACTGTCAGGTTACCGGTGTTCACTTTAGGAAAAATCGTATTGCCATTTAGAGTCATTCCCCTACAACACTGCGTGGAATCATTAAGTTTGGCTAGAAGACATGCAATAGCCAAGCCACAGTTTCTCGACCATAACAAGATTTAAAAACCTATATATAAATGAAAAAATGTTCTAAGAAAAGTATATAATTATAGCTACTCAGCATGGCATGAAGCCAGTTCTGCTGTATAATTTTAATTACCACATTTGCTCATGAAGAAGGCAATCAATCATTTCTCATTTCCCAGTTCTGAGGGTCATGCAGGTTGAGGAGCAACAAGGCATTACATAATAATTCCTTATAATGTTGTAAATTTATACTATTTGGGACTATGATCAGAATATTTTGCCATATAGCCCTGTTATTTATTAAGGGTTGCTGCACAGGTGTTTATCCCCCAAATCCTTCGTAATGTTATTATGGGCGCGAGTATATAATTGTGACGTGTTTGGTATTATTGGGTCAGTGTGATTAGTCAGATTATTAGTTTCTGCATTTCGTGGAAATGTTCGTAAATGTTGCTGTATGCCACCACACATTCACTAGAAAATGTTTGCATACCTCTCAAAACTGTTCGTCAGTGTTTGTGTGCATGACCTCAAGCCTGTTTAATCATTGCGAGCAAAATTATCGTAAGAAATCATGTGTAATTATTGGCACTTTTCAGTCATGAAACCTGATACGTTGTTAGTCGTCTGCATTAATTGTTCCTGTATGAATGCTAATGTGGTATAATGGTGGTTGGTGACTTCGGGAGGAAGGATCCTATGTGATCTCTATTTATGTTGGTGATGTCAATATTTTTCTGGGGAGTTTAGTGTGATCTTGCATCTCGTTTTTCAAGGGATATGTCTTGTACATAATCAGCAAAGAAATTGATAATGAAATTTTAACTTCACTTTTTCACTTTTTGATATCTGTCGATGTCTATTCATAAATTTTATATCTCCATTGTATAACCAATATTCCAATCAGAGGAGTCTATGATAAAAACAAGTATACACAGCAGTGTTACTGTTAGTGACAGCTCTGGTATTCGCATCACTGTGATGCTCAGATAAATTACTTGTAGCATATGGGTTGATTACACGTGATTAATTTATGTGCATATCAATGCATGTCAATGCGGTTGAATGATGAACCATAAAAAAACACGAAAATCCAATAATTTACTTTATGCTACACAATTACTTTGTCTTTTTACTGGAGACCAACCAATAGAAATCTACAATGCCATCACAACATTATATACAAATAATAAAACAACACAATAACAGGACTAGCATCGTAGCCACGTGAAAAACCAAGACGGCGAAACTAATCGACACGAGTTTACGTCGCTCCTCCGATTCGGCACAACACACTTGAATTTCTGTAAACGAGCCACACGTACAATAATCCAGAGACATCTGTTCTCAATTATTTACGTCAACCTTCGTTTTTCATGTTGTTTGCAAAGAGGTTCTCTTTCGTTATGCATAAAACCAATACTACTGTTACATGTCATATACCATGCTACTGTTGGAATGTTACGCTGCTGCTCACAGCAGTATTGAAAGCACAGCTAGCTATAGCTACACAAACATGTAGATAAGCTTTATGCTACATGACACGACAGAGCTTAGACACGATAAGACAATTTCTATACCTTATGCAGCTACTTGTACTCCTAATATCTACGAGTTCCCAAATGACTATTATCCACACATTATACTAAGGTTTTTCTTTGGTACTCACTCACCTACTTCGATTATAATACCCACAATTACAGAATTGTGATAACATAATGATAGTACACATCTTAATTATCTTCAATAACTTAGTAACAAACATTTAATTTATATAAGAATGACTTTTGACCATATAATCACATGAAACATCAACTACGTGTATACCTTTGGTCACTTAGCTGTTTTGTTTCTCAATTCACCAACCACAAGTTCTAAAATAAACACATTGAATGGAAATAAATGCTGGAATGCAATGCTAAGTTTTAATGATCAACTAATATTGCCTTCACTGTTACACAAGATATTGATAAGGTATAGACTAGTTTTCAGCATTGGACGTTTGCAAAGTAGTTGTACATACTTTAAAATAATGTGACTCAACTGACACATTTGAACAAGTAAATGAGTTTTCATTCACTCACATTCACTTTTGACTTTACAACCTATATTCATGCCAAATAATTTGGAGGCTGATAGCTCTGACGTTTGGAGTTTCACACCTACTTCACATTGTATAAACTGTAATTTGGTTGTAGAACAAATAATAAATTGCAAATTTCATGTAAAAGCCCATTTCCTATCTATTCTAACAAAACGTCAGAATTTGCATGTTGGGCAAGGATATCCGGATGGCCAAAGATATGAATTAAGAGCCAACTGCATCACAACATGGAATAAGTGTATAAATACCCGCTTCTAGTCGCCAAGAAATTCTATCCATACTTCAACACATACCATATCAATCACATGCAGCTGGAACTAGATGGCTTTGGTACAACTGATTGTAAAGTCTTACTTCTACCTACTGTATTTCTAATCACAACTGGCATTATTTACCCTCACTATACACGTAATAACGATTTTCAGCAAGAGTTGTGGATAGAGATCACTCTTAGCTGACCTTGGGATTAGGTTATCAGGGGCGCTACAAATAGACCCCTAATTTCCTGATACAAATAGGCTTAATTAAAAATTTTCTTGAATGTTGCCATGGGGACCTATTTTTCTCCTAAGGCAAGCCCACTCCTGTGCAGTTTTAAGGGACAAGATATGGCATGCAGGTGCTCTCAACCACTCACTTTTGCCCAGAACCCAGCCAATCAACGATTGACAGGGCTTGCACAGGCCGATTTAATGGGCAGATAACAGCACATATTGCTATATTTAGCAAGACTTTGCTAGCACATACAAGACCAATAGTTATTGCACATATGGCCCACTGGAAACTACATGTACTCACAGCACCTGTAATTGCCAGATACTGTTTCTTGAAGTGACAGATCAGAAAGTTAGAACTGCCGGTACGGGCCACTCTGAGCATAGGCATGCTGAGAGATTTGCTGAGCGGCAACACGACCAACTGTCTCTATCAGCTGTGCGTTCATCTCAACGTCCACATTATCCTTGTCCTTGGAAGCATTGGAAGCCTTTGCCGCCATCTCTACTCTGTCTCCTCTGCAAGGACGACATACCAAGCTGGTTAGTAACTTCACAGGGCAACAAAAGCTGTCAATCATTGGCATTCATATTTCTGTACGTAAGTGCGTACAAAACAAGGTGCAATACACTTATGAAGGGTATAATGCGAATGAAAAGAATAATTCCACTGCAGATTCGTGGAGAGGGAAGTTTAAACGCATGAGCTTATCAATGCAAAATAAATCAAACAGAATTTTATACATGCATAAAATCTACAGTCCTCCATCCTTCTCAACATCCATATTAGAAGCAGTTAGCATTTCTTGTCGGTCGGCCCTATAATGCAACAAAATCAGGTTTCGATTCTATTTTTCAATATAGAACAGAGACAATGCATAAATGTCCGTAATAAAGTCGTAAAATAATATGCAACTCAAATAATGCAATGCTGTTGTAATGGCACAGAATGAAGAAAACAAATAATGAATTCCTGCAGTGAATGCAAGGAGGGAGTAACACCTACTTTTTCCCAAGTGCCATTAACCCATAGAATACACCAGCTGCAAATACACAGCCACTGCCAAACATGGTCGATGCTCCAAAGCACATACAGATAGGGACCAGGGCTGTCCTGAAAAAAGACAAGGCATTCCTGATAAAAAAACACACTAGCAGTTGATATTAGCGGTATATTAGTATTAAATTATAAGATTGTTTTTCACAAATGTTAGCAAACTGTAAAATGATATAAGGTTAACGCTATGCCGTTTGTTTTCATTACTTACTACAATGCACAATCTATTATCCGAAATTCCGAAAACCGAAAAGCGCCGAAAACCAAAAAGTTTTTTCCTGGAGGTCTTCTGCACACCAAAGCTTGCGTTTGGCTGCACACGGTTCACTACAGGAATATTAATGTGTTTGGCATTACTCATGCATATTGTATCGTACCGGTACAGCACTTGGCCTCTTGAAAACTTGGGTTTTAGTAAGGGCTAGTTGCAGGATATACGGTATCAAGAGCATATAAAGAAGGAGAGCGTACAACGGTAAAATGCTGAAACCATGTTGCAGTATTAGTCGAATTAATAAACTTTCCCCGTTTTATTTTGACGATTCTTTGCAGTATCATTGATCAGCTGTCCTACCTTGTTCATATAAAACAAACCGCATGTCCCTACGATGCATCTACGCTGAGATAACGAGCGGTGAAATTCTGGTATTTTCGCCGAACACCCAGGGGCGTAGCTACGGGGGGGGGGGCACATGCCCCCCCCCACCGACTAGACATTAGTCAGTACTGCGACCCACTCTCGAAGTGTGGCCAGTGTCTTGCTTCCGGTCGCCGCTGTGTAACGCTGACTCGATACGTTATTACTACAGCGTTACTACATCCAGCGTAAGGGGCGGGTCATCACCATGGCGATAAATAACAATATGTTTTTGTGGAGTAATGGCTGCGTTAATGACTGGAAATGCGAGAAAAGATAGTAGAAGGAAAATAAATTTCATTGTCAATTAATGACGGAAACACGCGAGGTTTCCCGAAGTTATAACACTTCGAGAGTTGGTCACAGTACTGACTAATGTCTAGTCGATGTTCGGCGAAAATACCAGATTTTCACCGCTCATTATCTCAGCGTAGGGGCATAGTAGCGACATGCGGTTTGTTTTATATGAACAAGGTAGGACACTGATCAATAATACAGCAAAGAATCATCAAAATAAAACGGGAAAAGTTTATTAATTCGATGGTTGCAACATGGTTTCAGCATTTTACCGTTGTACGCTCTCCTTCTTTATATGCTCTTGACGGTATGTATATCTGTACTGTACTACCATTCCAAAATCCGAAAAATTCCGAATTCTGAATCGTGTCTGGTCCTAAGGGTTTTGGATAATAGATTGTGTACTGTACAAGGAAATTGGTGTACCATCTTCTACTATTCTACATTTCTGATGTTCACTGAAGTAACTCACTCAAACTTACAAAACATAAATAAGTGCTTTTTGCCAATATGTTCTCTTATCTGCAAATGCAGACACTTTCTTCACAAGGCTGAAGAACAGGCAGCAGTATGGGCACTCAAACATGAGCACCATGCAGCCTAAAAGACTAAAAATAAGACGAGTGTTACATATATGACAATTCATAAGAAACAATGTTACATAATAATTTGGCTCAGCCATAACACCACCATAATGCACAGGGGTAGAAATTAATTTGAAAATTTACAGGCCCGCCGGGCCTGTAGGCAGGTAGGCAAGAGATTTTACAGGCCCGCCAGGCAAATTACAAGCCCGCATCATTCCCTGGATACCGCAGCATTTTTTTTAAATAAGACTAAAATTTAAAATTTTTACAATGGTTTACGTTCGAACGCACAAACAGGCATTTAGGTACGTCTCCATCATCATCAGACACACGCACACGTTCACACACACCCACATCATTTACTGTGTGAATCATACATCTTGAATGATAAAGCTAATGTTTAGGACATATAGGGCAGAGAAAAACACTCCGTGGGGTCGGTTAGTTGACTTCATGGCAAGAGCAAATAAAAAGGTTGAGTAATGTAAACATCTAAGAAACCAGCCAAATCAGGCAAAGATAGGGTCGAGTTTTTCCTGGCAGACATAAAAGTTGAACACACACACCCCACCTCACCTCACCTCACCTACACTCACATCACCTCACATGCACACACACCCATACATTCACCTCATCTTGAGTTTGTGGCTTGTTGGATATGGCATTGACTGCTTTAGTTACAGCTTGCCATGTCTTTTTATTAACTACAGCTGCTAGTTGCCAGCAAAACTTCCAAACAGTCATCTTTCTCTGTCCCACTTCATCAATTATGAAGTCAATTTCCTCTGCGGAAATATTCCTATTCTTCCGTCTCTTTTACAGTTGCCGTGTATAATTTAAATAACTTTGGTCTCACCACAATCTTTGAGAATGGTGCTATAGGAGATGGGTGGCCATTAGGAGACGGTGGCTATAGTTCATAAATGCTTGCTTTACGATACCTTACGCGAAACCACGAACTGCAGCAGAGCAACGATATAATAAAGTTCATACTTGGACATGGACAGTGCTAATGCGTAGGTGTAATGTGCTAACAGCACCTGCTAGGTGTGTTGTTCTACGTGCTGCTTTGGGATTTTGAAAAGCCAACATTAATTACCAATCCGATATTTAGATGAAATTCTTCTTTTAATGACAACATTCTGCCTGATGTGCTAGATGGTGTACAGAATATTGGGAGACAGGAAGCTATGCAAATGATAAAGCACATCACGGAGAGGTGTTTTACGTAAACCACGTTTGGTCATAACGCAGGGAAGCTTTTATTTAGCTCCACCCTGTATAAAATGTATATAGTTTTTCCAAACGTTAAAAACAATATGACACGGTTAAACCTGAGCAGTGCAACAAGGCTGTACTGCTGTTTTCATGACTAGTAGTAGTAGGAAGTAATACGACGTGCTATGCAGCTACAGTGACTTATGTGTGTTAACTTGAGACAATTATTATTATTTACTGTAGAATTCAACATGCTATATTACCTAAAGCTTCTTAAAGCCGCACTATGCGCATCCAAACGCTAATTTCTCCAGTACTAGACTAGCAAATACTTCGTGTCATGCATAATCACAGTACCTTATGACCAAATAAACTCTAGTTGCTCCCATTTCACTGCACGTTTGCTTAAAACCCACAAGAAAGAGGTGAGAAAACTGGCATTCTGGCGCAAACGCCGAATGTTTGCCAAACAATTTAGCCTCAAAGTGGTGAGGTGACGTCACATGTTTTTATCTTTGCTACACCCGTACCGCTGTACCGCAGCACCGCTGTGCGGTTGCTTGGCAGGGCAACGCGAAAGTGTCAACAACATCGGAGAATTCGAACAACATTGGAGGTATTTATAAATACCTTTTATAAGACAATGCGCAGTGACATGGGAAGAACTAGAGTTTATTTTGTCATAAGGTAGTGTGATTATGCATGGCACAAAGTATTTGCTAGTCTAGTACTGGAGAAATTAGCGTTTGGATGCGCATTGTGTGGCTTTAATAATATTTTAAAACAGTTTACTGATCGTTTGTTAACTACCAGTGATACGTAAAGCCCGTTGCACATTGCCGAACATTTTGCTCAAAAACATTATCGTAGCAATGTTTGTTCGGACAAACATTTGTTCGGGAAAATGTTCGGCAATGTGCGCCAGGCTTAATTGTTTACATCCAAACGTGAAATGCGAGGGGATGTGCGAATTACTCCACAACCTAGCCCACGTGAACAGTGAGCGTGCCGCACGACCCGTGCATGTAAATAAACCTTGACCAACATAATGTAAGTTTCACTGCCAGTGGCCAAAAGTAAGCTCCACCCACTTCTTATCGATTTTTGGTATGCCAACGCTGCTAGTCTGGATTCAGGAACCTGTGCTAACCTGTGTGTCCGAACATCCCACGCACGTTTCTTGAATGCCAACTAAAGAGATGTTCTAAATTTTCTGCGTACGCACTTGTGCATACGCATTTCTTCTTGAATCCGGCGCTGAGATCACTAGTGCATGCTGCTAGTTGCATGCTGGGGGTGGCTTTTCTACGGGCCCGTCGGGCCTGTTAGTATTAGAAATGCAGGCCCGGGCCTTAAAATACGGGAATCAGGCCCACGGGCCCGGCCCGTTAGGATTTCGAACCCTGATGCAGGTTTACTGTGAAACATACAATATTAATTAAAACATTTTAACTGAAGACAATAGAACTTAGTGGATATACTTACACTTGCCATATACCAGCCACTAAACACAGTGGCGTCAATGTTACGAGTGCCCATATTCCTGTAAAGATTGCAACTGAAAGAAAAATGATATACATTTTGATGCTATAGTACATTTTCATCTAACCTACACACCTATATACAGCAACTCTATATCACATGGGTAGAATTCAACTTCTAATCAGGGCCTGTTTCATCAAATTTTGGTCATATTCCCGTAAGAAGTTATCAGGTTTTTGCGACTACAACAGAAATTCTTCAAACACACAGACACACATAGTAGTCAACTTACTTATTGCTCCGAGCGTAGCTAAACCACGTGCAATTAGCTTGCACCACCATGCTACCTCAGGGTTGCTGTCATTCTGGTCCTCTTTTGCTGCAACCACTGCACTACTGGCTGCTTGTCCCATCTTGTAATTTCTGATATTTTAAAGCCCTTACCTGAAATTTCACAACTGCATGTAATGTAGGTTAGGAATGTGAATAAACTACCTTAATTACAATAATTTTCAAAGAAAACATGGAATGGATTGGCAATATATTCTTAAGCTCAACAAAATAGCTAGCACAAAAAGAATATGTAGAAAGAATTTCGATAATATCTCCAAGTACACTGGTTTTTTCAAAGGTCCTTTGCTGGTAATGCTGAAAGTTGGCAGATAAACATGCACATAAATGGTATACATTGGTATGATTTTGCATGCTTTCACCAACATTGCAACCAACATTTTGACTACATTTCAAAATTATTAGCTCTGAAATCAATTGAAAAATTTATACACAGACGTCTCATCTGTCAGCAGACATATTACTGATTACTTCAGCATAAATTACTATGGGTTTGTGCTGTTCCTGCACTCCTGGAATTCTTTAAATAAAATATTAAAATGCTGCCATGTGATGTAAAACGTTCTATAAACTGGTACCCTATCTCAACATCAAACTCCATGACAGATGGCGCTCTCGCTCTGGCTCAATTTACCACTGCCACAAGTAGATTTTCCGTTACAATTTGTATCGCTTTTTTACCACAAGTTTTACAGCGGCCAGGTTACTCGTATCCTATGTAATAAGATTTGTACTAATAAAAGTTGCAAAGATATTAAAAATCCAACCATTCTTTTATGCGAAATTTGATAAAATAGTGATACGAAATAGTGGCGTATTGTGCGCCCATTTACTACTTTCAAATCATTAGGCTGTTTACTAAACTAAGTTCACGTGTTTATTTAAAATTTATCATGAATTTTTCGGATGCTTGCCAATATACCTAATTCTCGAATTTGTCTTTAATAAATTTTGTTATTCAGCCTTAAAACATCTAAATTTGTCCGCCAACACAATGCAAAATCATGAGAATTTCTAATGTTTTGTTCGGCGGCAACTTTGCGGCCGTTGTGATTGCCATTTGCTGGATTCCCGGAGCTCCGCCGCACTCGGAAAAATAGTACCAGCCTTGTGGCAGTGGTATCCTGAGTTGTACGAAGGGGGCGCTGCATGCAGTTTGTCTCAACATGTAGAGATATGGCACCGGTCGATTGCATCTCAAATCTACTTAGAAATTCAAATCGCTGCACACATTAATGAAAATAATTTGTGAGTGTTCTAAGACATTTAGCCTTACTGTACAGTGTTTCCCCTGGCCAAAAAGGTCTGTGAGGTGGTAAATGTTTTTTGTGATGTGTTTGCGCGTTTCGAGGTCCTAGCAAAGCGAGCAGTGCAGGTGCTGGCGAAACTAGGGGGCCCGGGGCATGCTCCCCCGGGAATAATTTTTGATAAAATGGTGCAATTGGTGCATTCTAAGCTATTCTGGACACATTGTATGACTCTTGAATCTCTTTTTCAAGTTGTCAAAGGTTTTCGTCAGCGAGGCGGTGTTTGGACCAATTTCTGTGTGGCGGCTAAGAAATTTGAGCGAGGCGGGCCGCCTCGCTCGCGTCAATGCATGGGAAACACTGCTGTATACACTTATTGTTATGCAAAGAGTATCAGTAAGTATTAAAATTGTCGATGAAATATGTGATCATTAGGAAAACATTTGAAACTAGAGCACTCGAGAGGCACAGACCTCCGCCAAGGCAGCTGAATTCTCTCAATGTGAAATTTTTTTAATTAATTAATTAAGTGGAAAAAATAATGTAATCAATTTTAAGTTACCCCATTACTGACCTATCCGTGGAAATTATTAATTAATTAATTAGTTCTTAATTAATTTAATTAGATCCAGACCACCACCAAAATGTTAATCAATTCTAAGTTACCACCATTTTCTGACCTATCCTGAAAATTTTATTAATTAATGAATTAATTAATTAATTAATTGGATCCATCGATCACCACAAAATCTCATCAATTCTAAGTTGGCCCATTTCTGACGTATCCTGAAATTTTATTGACAATCCGTCCATAACTTTTTCAGTTAGGTAACCTTTATGATACAGGCGGTTCCGGCGCCGGAAGCGGCGGCGGCGCGGCAATCAGCAATTAGCCGAGCTGTACACAAACACAAACCAACACTCGAACACACGCCGGTGAAAACATAACCTCCGCCAAGCCCCTGCGGTAGGTAAACAGTGCTTTAATCAAACTAGTACTAGCAGCAAAAATTAGTTTTGCCCAAATCATTCCACATTAATTACAGCATTAATTACACTACAAGATAATGACAAGGTAATTATTTTAATATTCATAAACACTAGTAATGGAATTCACATTTATGGATCGCTAATAATAATATATACCTGTAGCTGTGTCGTGTACTGTTTCTTTCAATCACTGACTCCAAGGTGGGCCGACAAATCAAGTGTGCTGGCGTACACTATAGTTCACACGGCAGATGGAGTCACATAATTCACCAAACATAAAGTGTTAGAGTATACGGCAATTAGTAACCACCTAAAGCTAAATAAAATTTATCTTTTAAAAATGCAAAAACTACGCTTTATTCGCGTGCAATGACGAGCTTAGTCAGTCAGATACCACAATGCAGTTGCCAGTGACAACAAAAATTGCATCACTGATTGTTTGTACATGCCATTTTTCCATCGGCTCGAAAGATTATATGGCAATAATAACAGCTTAAAGGCATAATTCGACCATCGATTATGCAAACTTGCAAAGTTGACGAATGCTACAGTAACTGGCACCTTGTGTAGTTAATAAGTACATTACCTTATAGCCAAACGCGTATTAGTTTGTCCAATATCACTGCTAACTTACTAAAGAAATGTCTAATTGAAATCCGTAAATTTTGGTAATCTGGCGACAACGCTAAATTTATTGCCAACAAATATAACTTCGAGTTCGTTCGATGACGTCACATGTTGCTACAGGATGTTGAAGCATCGAATTGTTTGTCCCGGGTAAATTGTTTGCCTAGTGTTATTATTTGCCTAGACGTTCCGCAGCAGATATCCGCGCGAAGCGCGAACAGCGCCACCTGTGGCGCCATTTAGAACGAATACGCTGCTCTGTCAATATGACTATCATGGTTCTATTAGATCGGCTCCTTGATCGGTCAATTGAGCCGTTTTGGCGCTTCCGCAAGCCTTTGGACTATGCACGGTAGGCGCGAGAAAACTCCAAATGCTCGAAAGTGCTACGTTGCTTGTTGGCGCGTGTCGAAAACTCTAGAAAAATAATTTTTCCCTTTTCGCTGGATCAATGCCCTGATATTAATTTGGAAGTTTATCGCGACCATAGATGGCGCGCACGAGTCATCTACGTACCATTCCAAGTTTTTTAAAAAAAAACGCTCGGATGGATGACTAGACTGCCGCGCGTCGTTCAACACGCTAGCACGTAACTCACTTTAGTATAGCCACGATAGTTGGCTGAGTGAAGATTCGTACCAGTCTACTTGGGCTTTTAATTATCGTAGCCATCTTACTTTCTTAGATCTGGAATATTTAATCTGGTACCAGTCAATTGGACACAGAGCCTGACGTGATTTATGTTGTGTGAGCTCAGACTATCTACTGTGTATCTGTTGCATGCCACAATTGCCGTGCGGGCTATGTGTTGCATCGGATGATATTTACTTGTTGAAGTGAAGTTATAGGTGAATCAAACATTAAGACTATTGCTGGACTGTAGTACTAGTCTACTGACAAGTTTGTATTTATTAAACCATTCTTTTATTAGCCATTATTAGAGTAGGCCTATACTAGAAACATTAACAATTTCGTAGTAAATAGATTTCGTATTTAGTTACCATTATATTTTATTGAAACGCTGGAAGTTGCCCTGTGTTAGTATAGCCTAGGGGTATTCTAACCCTAGCAAAGAGCGTTTCTTGCTAGTCGTAGTAGTCTAGTAGTACTATAGTGGTTCAAGGATAGAGAACATGGCTTCCCACATAATATATATGAGGCCCCAATGTATGGCATGCGCAATAAAACCAATGTCATTTACATCAATATAAATATAATATTATATCAATATAATAGGTTAGGGTTATGCCTTATGGTTAGGGTTCGTCATTATTAGTAAGTTAATTACTAGTAACAGAGTTAGTCATTATTACTATTACTATTAATACATGAGCTCCTGCGGTCCTGGTAGTTACTAGTACTAGTAGTAGTACTAGTAGTGCTGGTAACTTAGTAGTACTACTACTACTAGTACTAGTAGTAGTACTTAGTAGTAATTAGTGTAACATGTACTTGTAGTAATACAAGTATTCGTAGCCGTAGCCGTAGGTGTGGAATGTAATACCAGTCTACATGCGGACCGCCGCCGCCACAGGCACTTCGACCGTTTCAATAAAATATAATGCTAACTAAATACGAAATCTATTTACTACGAAATTGTTAATGTTTCTAGTATAGGCCTACTCTCTTTCAAGAAGGTTGCGAGGTGCAAAGGCTATATATAGACTAGGACTCGCTCCCACCTCGATTAGCCATTGAGTGACTAAGCGAAGCCGAGAGGTGCAGCTAAGCCGAGAGGTGCGAGAGAGTGCCAGTCTATGGGCTATAGGCGGCGGGCAGGCGGCGCACTGCTTTCCAACTCCCGTACGAGCCTCGCCATTGGAACGTTGCAAAAACGTTGGAGCGTTGGGGCGCGAGAGACGCCGGTAGGTGTTTCCTGATTCTGACAGCCGTTTCCATTACTGGGCAAGGTTCGCGAATGTCAGAATTTCGACAGTCTTTCTGTGATTTCGCGTGACACAGCTCGGTTACGAACACATTACTCGGTTACACTTTATTATAACAAGTGAACACTGTTCACGTCCCAAAAGTCTACCCTCTGTGTCCCCCACTAAAATTGCCGGACTGTTCGCTGGCAGCTATGGATGTGCGCCCGCCAATTCATTCGGCGCACGGATCCATAGCTGCCAGCGCTGCATACTGTCGTAGGACGTTCCCGCGATCGCGTGCGCCTTGCGCGGAACTGCGCGAAAGATCTGCGCTTCAGCGCTTCGGATCAACATCTCGTTTCGGCAACGCTTCTCTAGTATCCCGTTTCATCTGGTTGCCACATATTTATATGTTGCTTGTATCTCCAGAACTTCGTATATTCATTTATTCCCGAATCCCAAGAGTAAAACCATAAAGTACGGAATGCGCACTCAGACTACAAGGATCGAAATCACTGACGCCGAGCATACGTGCGAAAATGTCCGGTGCACTATAATCTGTATGACAACCGCCCTCGCCGGTTACGGCGGTTACGGCCGGCATGGCGGTTTGTAACTGTCAACAACCGATTTCTTGGACTGCGGATTTCAATAGACATTTCTTAGTAACCAGCAGTGATATTGGACAAACTAATACGCGTTTGGCTATAAGAGTAATGTACTCTATTAACTATCACAAAGGTGCCAGTTACTGTAGCATTCGTCAACTTTGCATAATCGATGGTCGAATTATGCCTTTAACGGATTCGTTACCCACAAGTTCCCTGCTCGGCGAAGACGTAGTTCTGAACTTCTATTATGATAGATGTTCAGAAGCAAATCGTCGCCGACTTCTCTTCGAAGTTCGATGACAATGCCCCATTTGATTTGGCAGTGACACAAATTTTGATTGTGGGGCCAGTAAGGCTCATAGGGTCTATGTCCCCAAGGGTGCTATCAGAGGGTACTCTGGGTATGGTTCGATATATTGGAAAGTACCTCGGGGTACTATACGATATGTCGCTGCGTACCCTGCATTGTCCCACCGTACCCTGACTTTCAGCCAACTGATGTCGTAATACATACACTCTGTCAAGTTACCACATCACATAGAAGAAACCTCAAAACATCGCAATCCAATAAAAATGTATGCTATGTTTGACTATATTTTTGTTTTTCCTTTTTTTAAACAAAGAGCTAGCTTTTATATTTTAGTTTTACAACATTGGAAATACGTTCATATAAAGTCAGGGTACGGTGGGACAATGCAGGGTACGCGGTGACATATCGTATAGTACCCCGAGGTACTTTCCGATGTATCGAACCGTACCCAGAGTACCCTCCGATACACAGGCACTTGGAACGTCTCAATAAAAAAAAAAGGTAAATAAACACAAAATGTATTTGTACTACCAAAGTCTTAAAGCTGCACTATGCACATCCAAATGCTAATTTCTCCAGTACTAGACTAGCAAATACTTCGTGTCATGCATAATTACACTATCTTATGACAAAATAAACTCTAGTTCCTCCCATTTCACTGCACGTTGTCTTATAAAAGGCATTTGAAAATACCTCCAATGTTGTTCAAATTCTCCGATGTTGTTGACACTTTCGCGTTGCTCTGCCAAGCAACTGCACAGCGGTGCTGCGGTACAGCGGTACGGGTGTAGCAAAGATAAAAACATGTGACGTCACCTAACCGATTCTTGCCGAAATTGTTTGGCAAACAATTTAGCGTTGGCGCCAGATTACCAGATTTCGCACCTCTTTCTTGTGGGGTTTAAGCAAACGCGCAGTGAAATGGGAGGAACTAGAGTTTATTTTGCCATAAGGTAGTGTGATTATGCATGCCACGAAGTATTTGCTAGTCTAGTACTGGAGAAAATTAGCGTTTGGATGCGCATAGTGCGGCTTTAATGTTTCTCTACTCTACTTCGCCTATAATCACCTGTAAATGCCGGTCAAATGCTCATTTGCAACACACAAGTACACCGCACGCTAGCTGCTGCACACTGACACATAAATATGTGACAGGAAAGCGTGCTGCCAAAATTTGCTCGACGCTCGCTTGATTTCATACGAATACAACACAAATATTCCACCATTCTACTCCATCTTTGTTTCTATTTGAAGAACAGTGTTCACTTGTTATAAAAACATGCTGTCTGTGTTCGTAACTTAGCTGTGTCCCACGAAATCACACAAAGCCTGACGAAATTCTCGCGTTCGCTCCCGTTGCGCAGTTTATGTAAATGGCTGTCGGAATCAGGAAACACCCACCGGCGCTCTTCGTGACCTAATTTTTCCAGCAAAGAGTATCAGTAAGTATTAAAATTGTCGATGAAATATGTGATCATTAGGAAAACATTTGAAACTAGAGCACTCGGAGAGCACAGACCTCCGCCAAGGCAGCTGAATTCTCTCAATGTGAAATCTTTTATTAATTAATTAATTAATTAAGTGAAAAAATTATTAATTAATTGGATTTGGATCACCACCAAAATGTAATCAATTTTAAGTTACCCCATTACTGACCTATCCTGGAAATTTTATTAATTAATTAATTAGTTAATTAATTAATTAGATCCAGACCACCACCAAAATGTAATCAATTCTAAGTTACCCCATTTCTGACCTATCCTGAAAATTTTATTAATTAATGAATGAATGAATGAATGAATTGGATCCGGATCACCACCAAAATCTCATCAATTCTAAGTTAGCCCATTTCTGACGTATCCTGAAAATTTTATGACAATCCGTCCATAACTTTTTCAGTTAGGCTTAACCTTTATGATACAGGCGGTTCCGGCGCGGCGGCGGCGGCGGTGGCGGGCCAATCAGCCAATCAGCGAGCGTACACAAACCCACAAACCAACACTCAAACACACGCCGGTGAAAACATAACCTCCGCCAAGCCCCTGGCGGAGGTAAACAGTGCTTTAATCAACACTAGTACTAGCAGCAAAAATTCAGTTTGCCCAAATCATTCCACATTAATTACAGCATTAATTACACTACAAGATAATGACAAGGTAATTATTTTAATATTCCATAAACACTAGTAATGAATTCACATTTATTGTTAATCGCTAATAATAATATATACCTGTAGCTGTGTCGTGTACTGTTTCTTTCAATCACTGACTCCAAGGTGGGGCCGCTTGATTGTAAATCAAGTGTGCTGGCGTACACTATAGCATTATCACAGGCGAATGGATGTCATCATTTATAATTCACTAAACATAAAGGTTAGAGTATACCGGCAATTAGTAACCACCTAAAGGCTAAATAAAAATTTACTCCTTTAAAAAATGCAAAAACTACGCTTTATTCGCGTGCAATGACGAGCTTAGTCAGTCAGATACCACAAATGCAGTTGCCAGTGACACAAATAATTGCATCACTGATTGTATTGTACATGGCCATTTTTCCATCAGCTCGAAGATTTATGGCAATAAATAACAGCTTAAAGGCATAATTCGACCATCGATTATGCAAACTTGCAAAGTTGAC